TCTTCATTTTCTGCACGAATTTTGCAAATAAATGGCACACTGCGTCTTCTTAGCGAAAGGGAATTGAACGAATACCATTTTTAACGGGGAAAATGAGAAAAGAAACCCGAAGGAGTGAGAATTTCTGGCAATCTGAAGATTCGATTCTGTAGACCTGAACTCCAGCTGGAACTTGGCAACTTTATATGGGAGTTTTTTTTCTCTAGCTCATATATATGAAATTATCAATATATTTTTGTGAAGTGCTATGTTGTATGAAAAGGTTGTCGTTAATTTAAACATTGCATAAACAGCATTCAGATACGAAAAATATGAACATCAACATTCAACATGGACTGATGGACTTGGACATGGAGCCACAGTACTCTAAAGTTCTCATATAGACTTTATTTAACTTATATGTTGACCCAATGGTGAGGGATTGGTCAAATTATACTTTATAGTGATTCCCCTAGACTAGTGCATTGGTTATTGTGCAATGACAACCTTTTTTTGGCTCTCAAAGGTCAATAATTTCTCAAAAATGCCAAGTCTGTACATGTTTAATAATCTAATCTGTTTATTTTTTATTTTGCTTTTCTAGATTGCCAACCATTCCTGTTGAACTACATTGTTCATTACAATGAATCAGGTGCAGATTTTTCTTACAACTATGTTAAGAGGCAGTCTCTGTAAAAGCGGTCCACTGCATTTCGGATCAGAAAATAGTTTTCTCCCAAACTTTTACCCTGAAATAGCACATACCAGTGAGTTATGAAACTGACTTTGGCTTTTCAATTTTCATAAAAATAATTTTTTTACAGCGCTTTAGTTCCAGGCGACCGTGTTCGCTGAATTTGCACTTTTCGTCGACTGAAAATTACACATATTTAAAACATTACAGCTCACGCAATATAGAACTTTGCACCAAGATCTTTTTTCTCAGTCTTGTTCATTCATTCAAGTGCAAAATTCAAGCGAAATTTTGAATGTCGAGAGAAATGTGGGGGGAGAAAAAATTACACAATGATACTCGTTTTACGGCCTTCTTAAAAACACGGCAAACTGACCCTCAGAAAATAGCTTTGATCTCCTAAGTCCAGCACTAAAAACCTAAAGCTTCTATTCCAATCTACTAATCTAAGGATGTATAAAAAGGATTGATAAAAACATTTTGCGCTTTTTATTTAGATTCTGCACAACAACCTCGAACTTTTTGTGTTTTTAATGCAAATTACATTAGTTAGGCGGTAAATATAAACTGTAATGAAAGACAGTTATTTGCTTCAGTTGCGATGCCCAAACTTGGGCACCACATTATATTCTGCCTGTGAGTTTGTTAGTTTATCTGTTTGTTAGTTTGTCGGTCCGTTTGTTAGTTTGTTCGCATCAAACGTTTCCTTAATCACCTACAAAAAATTCCTTGCACGTGCTCGGAATTTGTTGGTTGTTGTCGTTCTCTCATGATCGACTGTTTGCTAGGCTTTATCTCTGGTTTTATGCGCCCAATAAGGACAAAAATACTACCGTTCGAATTATCGTGAAAAGTTGTATTTACGGATGTCAAATGTATTACTAAACAACAGTATTCTAGCGATTTATGGCCTTTGAAAGACAAGCGAAATTGTATTGTTCACACTGCCATCGCTCATAATTATTAAACTAATTAAAAATGCAATACATTTGACCTTGATTAACTTCGTATTGTTGGTTTTCTCTAACCAGTGGTTAATCTCACTTTCCTCTTTATTTTGTTAGTAGTTTAAGTCCAAAATATTATATTTTGAAGGTTTTAATGTGCAGTTTTAATAAGCGAAATTGTATTGTTGACAGGAGGATGTGGCATGCTAAATATAACTTTACTTGACTTGTACATGTAGGCGGAAACGCACCGCATTTTAGTATTGTGTGTGGTTTTTATTGCATTCGGATTTAAAGCATTAAATTTTTCTTATTTTCGAATTTAAAGTTCAAGAAATTTACTACTAAATGGTGCCGGACGGCTTTGCTAGCTGAAGTGTTTTATTGTTTGTGCAAAATACTTGACTGTTTATTACGCAAGCTTTGTATTTTACCGATGGAATCGACATCAGATCTTTACGTGCTTTCAGCATGTGACGAATTAATTAGTTAACAACACAAAACAACACATTAATGACTTAAAAGTCTAAATTTAAGATTCAATCAGAAGGCATGGCATGCTTTTTAGAGTTTTCAGAGCTTTTTGCGGAATGTGGCGTTTCGAAAGCTACCTGATCTTTACAGAAAGGATAGTAAAAAACTACTGGCTATTTGAAAATTGTAGTTCGTTACAGTAGCGAACTACAACTACCAGGGCCGTATATGGGCAATTTCAGGTAAATTCAGGTAGATTTGCAGAAGGAATTCAGCTAAATGAACGCAAATTCAGGTAATTCCTAGGAGAAGAGAAAGTTAATTTACAAAAATAACTGTGAATTTGGAAAAAAATGTGGTATATTTACAAAAGTTTTAGAATATGCTAGAAATTTTCGGAATTTTAGAAAATTTTTTTAGATAAACGGAGAAAATTTGTGATGTCGGGAAAATTTTTTTTATGTCGCGAAAAATTTTGATATGTCCGGAAAAAATTTTTACCCCTGAAATGGTACACTGTCCGAAAATTTTTTGGCGATGGGGCGGGGGGGGGGTCACCCAAAAAAATATTCAGGTAACAAAAAAAATTTACAGGTAAATTCGAAATTTTGATACTTTCAGGTTGATTTAACCAAACGCCCCCTGAAGCGAGTTCCTCGCGACGACACTGACAACTACTTCTCTACTACCCACCCTTGATTTTTCATCATGGCCATAGGGGCAATAGATCTTATACGCTAAAAAAATTCCGAAATAATTAATAGTGACATTCTAGAAGTCGCCCGTCAATTCAGGTAAATACTAGATTATAGTTCTAATTATTTTTATGTCTTAATGTGTCATGTCAGGCTTTATAAATTAACAAAAAGCAAGTTCGAGGTTGCTATGTAGAATATATTAAAATAAAAGTGCAAAGTGTTTTAAAAATTATAATATCACTTGCTGCCTTAAGCCTTAAAATATTAAGTCACGTTCAGTAAGATCGGTCGATTTCGTCGTGGTATATGTACATGTGTTTTGGTTATTTTTCCTACGTTTAAGTCAATTAAGTGATATAAGAATATCGGATATTTAACAGTTATTCTACGAACTCGAGTCGAATACGAGCTGATAGACTTTTATTACATACACAAGGTCTGAATTCACAGACTTTGCTTTTCGGATATTTTCAATATTTTTCTATTAATTTTTATGTTTTTATAAAAAAACTCTTTCGGCCAAGTATTTTTTTCAAAAACATATATTTTTAACCATTCTAAATTTTAAAAATTCATTTGCTAACCTGCAAACAATTTGTGGGAGTTTTTTCGCTGTGTTTTTAATCCTGTAAAGGCTATAAAAAGCGAACAACTTGCCATTTTCTCGTTCGCAAAATGTCGGAAATTCAGTTTGAGCCGCCATTTTGTTTAGTACCTCATGTCCAGACCTTGTGTATATAATAAATTTGTATATACTTCTAACAAGATTTTATCCGAACTCGAACTGAGTAAAAAAACCGGAATTGCTCTTTTGAAATTCTATTTTGGTAAAATATTAAGCTTGCATAATAAACAGTCAAGTATTTTGCACAAACAATAAAACACTTCAGCTAGCAAAGCCCTCCGGCACCATTTAGTAGTAAATTTCTTGGATTTAAATTCGAAAATAAGAAAAATTTACTGCTTTAAATCCGAATGCAATAAAAATTGAAGCAAATAACGATCTTTCATTACAGTTTATATTTACTGCCTAACTAAATGTAATTTGCATTAAAAACACAGAAAGTTCGAGGTTGTTGTGCAGAATCTAAATAAAAAGCACAAAATGTTTTTATCAATCCTTTTTATACATCCTTAGATTAGTAGATTGGAATAGAAGCTTTAGGTTTTTAGTGCTGGACTTAGGAGATCAAAGCTATTTTCTGAGGGTCAGTTTGTCGTGATTTTAAGAAGGCCGTAAAACGAGTATCATTGCGTATTTTTTCCTCCCCCCGCATTTCTCTCAACATTCAAAATTTCGCTTGAATTTTGCACTTAAATGAATGAACAAGACTGAGAAAAAAGATCATGGTGCAAAGTTCTATATTCCGTGAGCTGTAATGTTTTAAATATGTGTAATTTTCAGTCGACGAAAAGTGCAAATTCAGCGAACACGGTCGCCTGGAACTAAAGCGCTGTAAAAAAATTATTTTTATGAAAATTGAAAAACCAAAGTCAGTTTCATAACTCACTGGTATGTGCTATTTCAAGGTAAAAGTTTGGGAGAAAACTATTTTCTGATCCGAAATGCAGTGGACCGCTTTTACAGAGACTGCCTCTTAAACAGCTAGACCGAATGGCTTCCAACCTCAACAGATACTTGGACAAAAAACGCAAAGACTGAAAGTGTGCGCGTGGGTAAACATCAATTTTGAATGACGTGTGCGAAATTGACAGTTAAAATTAATTAAAGTAGTATTGCGCGATTATTCGTAGTCAACTTATGTAAATTTCATGCTTGCTGAAGATGGACAGCATAACTGCCCGAAACGTTAATATACATTTATTGAACCTTTGTAAAATCTCGAAATAAATTAAGATTTCAATTAGAAATTCTGAGTTTACGTTTTAACTTGTTGCCAACATTAATTGGCGTCCGTTATTATCTACTCACCGTTTCTTTTCCACCGCCACGTCCTTTTCGCCTTTGAGTAGCCTTAGTAGCCTTTTTCCCACGGCCTTTGGACATGTCTTGAGTGGCAAGTTTAGTCATGTTTGGACCCTTACCGCTTCATGCATATTCATGTAAAAGACTCTTCAACATGCCTTCTCTCTCAGCAACAGCAATGGTATGGCAACATAACTTATACGACACCCATCGCAGACACGCGGACTCGCACGATACATTATCCCGTCCTCGTATTTTAACGTGAACTGCAGTTCCATTCGTCAAATCGTGTTTACGTAGAAGCTCCGGTCTGAGCCAAACTTGTGAATCCCTTGCTCATTACTAAGTATTTCGTTCGCTTGTGAAAACGTTTCTTGTAGGATTGCCGATGGGATGCTCGTGATACAACTTTGCGATGGCTGTAATGACAGAAAACGAAGAACATTAGCATCAGGAGTTTCATCAGTAGTACCACTCTGTTGCTCGTCAGATCGATCAAGAGGAATGTTGCAGAATTTCCGGAAAGCTTTCTCTTGCTGCTCTTTAGTCATCTTAAAAAAATCGTCTTCGTCGACCATGAAATCGCTAAAATCTTCAGAAACGACTAATTCACCCCTGGATATCATAGCATGGTTGTGGACCTCCCACGTAGATTCTCAACACAATCGACGATATCCATTTTCTTGTTTTGTGACGATCGCTTTATTACCGAATTCATGCATTCATTGCCATTTTGCGTGTATACTTGAGGTGGGTAACCCAGCCCAGCGCGTGATCGCACCTCCGCCGTCATGCAATTGCCAATCTGCTCGGCTTTCCACTTCATGAAGTAATTGAAAAACTTTTCTCCTCCTTTGTGCTGATTTATCCAAGTATCTTTTAACGCTTCCAAGCGTTTGACGAATTCCTCCCTTGAGCTGCTTTCAACTAAACTTTTTTTACTTGAAGCTTCGTTTCGTTGCCCAAATATGTCGGACATATATTGCTGGCTGTCTGACCGACGAATTCCGAGCTCTCTCAATTTTGATGTGATCGTGTCTTCCATGTGCATATCGCAGAGTAAATGTAACGCGAAAGGGAAGCAGGTTTCAAATGCTTGAAAAAGAGCAATTTCTCAATCAGTTCCAAAAGCCAATACCCCCCGAAGGTCTGGGTCGAGTCTGATCATAGTGGATGGCAGGGAATGGTAACATGAGAAAAGCTTGCGTTGATGCAGAAGGATTGGGCCAAGCATTACCGGGTGTATACCAGCTTTTGTTTTTAGCATCAAGTCACGATAGGTTGTCAGGCAAACGTAAAACTCACCAATATTGAAAGTAACGTCTACTCCTAGAACAGAAAACCGAGATGGATTCGTGCAGAAGCGTTTAACTTCTGCAAGCTGATAGTTAGTGGCCAAGACGACCAATAATTAGGGGGCAGAGCTGATTTCACGAATGAAAACTAACTTAGGATCTCGTTGCTCCATTTTACATTTATCCATGACGGCAACAAGAGGGTCTGGACAAGAGGAGGATACTCGATTTGCTTTTTCTTTAACTCCTCGCCTAAAGTTTGCTGCTTGTTGTCTATCCCTAGCGAATTCTCCAGCAGAGCTAATATTTTCAATCCCTCCTTTTTCTTCTAAAAGGAGATCGACTGCTGCTTTTGGCGTGCTTGTCTGAACCAGCTGTTTCAAGCGCGTCTTCGTGCTAGCCTCGGATGGTTTAAATGGACGAGTGGAAACAGACGCGTTCCCATGTGTTTGAGGTTTTATTTTATTTTCCCCACTGGTAAACTGATATTGCAGGAAGCAATAATAGTGCGGCGACCCATCACGATCTGTTTTGCAAAAAAAAAAGAGTTAGAATTAATACTTCACTACTTAAATTCAATGCGACGTTTGTGCGCATATCCAAATAAACGTTGTTGTTCGATAATATCTCGTTCAACAAGCTGGTTCCCAACCGTTAGGACTATTTATCTAACATCTCCTATAATGAAGGCCTATTCACGTTTATCACAAATTTTTTTTTCCAATAGGCCTTTCCAAGGTTTCTGCCGCCATATTGCAGGGGGTGCAAAAACAGTGGGGCGAGCGCGCAGCCACCAATGGCCCCCATACTATTTCCTCTTGAGTGAGTGAAAATTACCTTTTGACATTTTGTCCTTTTTCTCAAAAAATTTCTATACAAGCATATCCAATTTTTATTTTTGGATAATCGCTGGGTTTTTTCTGATATGTGGCTGAGATTTCTTACTAATCGAAGGACAGGAAGTAATAAAAAACGGCGGCTTTTGCTGCACACCTTGACCGACGTTTGAGCGATGATTCTTGTACAAATATACAAACATAAACAGTGATAATGGCGGACACCAAAGGACTCACACACTTAATGGACAAATATTCTTCCAAAGATCAGTTAAACAAACGAAATAACAAGAATCACCGCTCAAACGTTGGTCAAGGTGTGCAACAAAAGCCGCCGTTTTTTATTACTTCCTGTTCTTCGATTAGTACGAAATGTCAGCCACATATCAGAAAAAAACCAGCGGTTATCCAAAAATAAAAATTGGATATGCTTGTATAGAAATTTTTGGAGAAAAAGGACAAAATGTCAAAAGGTAATTTTCACTCACTCAATCGGAAATAGTATGGGCGCTCACTCACTCAATCGGAAACAGTATGGTGGCCGCGCGCTCGTCCCAATGTTTTTGCAACCCCTGCAATATGGCGGCAGAAACCTTGGAAAGGCCTATTGGTTTTGACAATGTTAGAGTTGCCATGGCAACATCACGACACTATTTGTGATTAAAATTTGAATATAGGTCACCCATGCATGAAACTAAAGCGTAAAACGCAAATACGGGTAAAAATATGGTCATCCAGTAAACGGAATTTTCTTATATAAAAACGTTGCCGAATAGTGAATAATAGTTCGCAGGCGCAAGATGTGAAAGATCGAGTCCCAAAAGCCGAAAAGGTGTTTTCATTTTTTGACGTTTATTCCGGCAATATGTTTGAGAGCCATGGGCAGCCAAGAAATATTGTGAGTTTAGATCGACTTATGTCTAAAAGTCTTTGAATCCTTCGATTTACTTGGTTTGTCCGGAAATAGGAAACCGCAAGTAATAGATAAATACGTCACATCGTACGATGGTGTGGCATTTGTTTACATATTTTCAGACACTTTATATTTTTGGGTCGAAGACAGGGCGTGTATTTAAAACTACTGAGAAAAACTAATAAACTATATCTATGTGATTTGTTTTGGGATACTATTCTTTTGGAGGCCAAGAAATCCCGAATAGGTTCACAAGCTTTAGCAGCCGTACAGCTGGATGGACAAATCGGTATTTTGCTATAAAATTGTGCTGGATATTTTTACTGTTTATTTTTACTGGTGAATTAGAGCAAAGCTTACGTAGTCATAGTGCATGATTTTTACGAGCGTACTTTTTATCACGGTCAAATTCTTCTTTACGTCTTGTTCCACCTTATGTTTGAAAAATCGTCTCTCAATCTTGAAAATATCATCGTCGTTTCCATAATTGTTTGCATTGGTCATGATAAACCTGGAATTGTCTTGTATGCAATATGCTGTTTTTGTTCCAGTACTGGTCCAAACACCTGAGCTGTCTGCTAAAACATCTTTGACGTCTCTAAAGTGTCTGATATCAAGAACAAAGGCCATGCTTCTTGAAACTGCGGCTGGTTTCTCGGTTGCTACTTTCTGCGATGTAGCAAGGTCTGGACTCAACAATATATTTACGTTTTCATCAACATCCAGTCCACGATTTCTACCTGAGTAATAAATTGGAAGCGCTGCATTGTCGTCGTAATACTTGATATGGTCATCGTCATCTGAACTATTACTTGAAGCAAGCTCCTCGGAATTATAACTTTAACGAAAAATGAAAAAGGGAGAAACAGTTTAAAAAGAATAAAAGAGCTCTTCTCAGGTCTTCATTTAATTTAAACGAAAAATTTGTCGTACACGCAACATTTAAAACAAACCTCATGTACTGAAGTACTTTTGTCTTATTACTTCGCTGTGTCTTGGCCTTAACACGAACGTAAGGGAAAAACTGGTTACAAGAAATATACTGATAACAAAAACACATGCTTAAAATGGTTAACAAATAATAATCACAAACCCCATAATAATACATAGCTCAAAATATTAGCCTTTTCTCACCTTTTAACAGGACTATTCTCTGGGGAAGAGAGCACATGAATAATTTCTTGCAAGTCACCTTCAACGCTAAAGAGGGAATCGTCACATATCGATTTCGTCCACGAGAAACGTCATATGGACGTGGGGTTTCATGAAGTACGTAACTTTTGGCAAAAATAATAGTATCATGAGATCAGCATTGATCACCAATGTGATATTGACATAGAAGATATAGAAATTTATTGTCTAAATGTTTTCTTGTTGCAAGACTAGTTTATATTATTTATATACAAACTATGAAATGTAGTGTGTAGAGTTCATTGCCTAAGATAAGATACAAACTTTAAAAGCTGGAAGTTTTACTGGCTATTTTTATCTGTGGCAGTGGTGTATCTCACACTGAACTAATTAAAATTCGACACAAAAGCTTTCGTTTAGCGCCTGCCTTAGGTGTGGACCATTAGAAAAGTGATGGGGGGAGGGAGCAAAAAAATCGCGCAGGGTCCGGGTAACAGAATGAAAAAAAAACTTTGTACCCCATGAATGTTTGAAAAAAATATCGACACATGCAAAACATTTTAAAAAAATATTCGTACAAGTTAAAAAAATACCGCCCTCCCCCCCCTCCATCACTTTGCTAATGGTCCGCCCCAGTCAATTTTAGTTTTTCATAAATGTTTTCAGCCATAGTGAACACGAAAACGCTCATAGTCATATACTTTTTAAAAATATGAGTGCATGGTACATTAATTGGTAGTATTAATATACGTGACAAATAGTTGCTAGACTACCTGAAGCACATAGACTAGATTTTTGCCCTCTCAGACACAACTGAATAGGTGTGTAAATTTCCATTCAAATATTCCTGTCCATCTACTAGCACTTTATAACTTAAGCACTTACATAGTGATATATAGGAATAGCCGAAGAATGTCTTTCAAAAATAACATTAACAAAACGTTACTGTAACAGAGTAAACAATTACACAATACAGTACAGTACTAGTATAAACTATTATGCAAAGATGAACAATAGATACATAATACAACAGGCGCAATAATAATCGCTTCTAGTTCATAATTTCTCAATATTTTGTATTTGCCGAGATACTTTTGTCACAACTGTTTCTATAAATCTAATATCTATATGATAAAGAAGAAGTTCTGCAGTATAAACTATAATAATTATTATTAAAGTACTATACATACTATGTCTAGTACAAATTATATAATAAAATTTAGATAATCCAAAATATTAGATAATCCTGCTATCCCGCAGATTACTGTATATCTATGAAATTGCACTGTACAACTGATGGTATTTATACCTTGCCGTGTTATCGCCAGCCTCACTTGCCGAGTCGGAACTGCTATCAATATTAATGAAACCAGTAGTCATGATAATTGCAAATATATATAAAGCCGGAGATGCCTGCGGAGGAGGCTAATAATTAAAGCCCAGTTATGGGGGGGGGGGTGAGAAGTGCTTGTATATTATATCATGCACGCGCGGGCAGTGTAGCGCGCTTTTAATATAATTATACGAAAATTTTAAAAATAATAAAATTTCAAAATCGAAAGTCCAAAGTCCAAAGTCCAGTCCAAAGTCCAGTCCAGTGTTTACAATATGCCGAGTACAGACTCGTCTGATAAATGTAGCAAGCTACCGGAACACTTGAAAACTTTATATCGAAATAGTGTTAACCCATTGAGTGGCATTGCACCCTGATCACCCTACTTTAGTATTTTACTCTGTCTAATGCCAGACGATTTTACTCTTCAAGGGGAGAGCACTGGCGCTTAATGGGTTAACTGGCCCATCTGCCCATGTGTCTAGTTAACCATTGAGTGGCATTGCACCCTGATGCACCCTACTTTAGTATTTTACTCTGTCTAACGCCAGAGTATTTTACTTGTCAAGGGGAGAGCGCTGGCGATTAATCGGTTAAAGACTTAACAACAGAAGATCAGAAGACCAAAGTATACAACTTGCTATGTGATAACGCTGATTTATTTTCTAAGGGGTCCAATGATATAGGGCAAACAGACTTAGTAAAGCAATAAGATTAACACAGGCAATGCAAAACCAATCAAACAGGCTCCACAATGACTTCCTTATGCGAAACGAGCAGCTGCAGATCAAGCTGTTGCCGAGATGCAAGAACACAACAACATAGAACCTTCTACGAGTCTGTGGTCATCTCCCGTAGTCCTAGTTCAAAAGAAAGATGGAAATCTTCATTTTTGTGTTGATTATCGGAAATTATATGATGTCACTCTTAAAGACTCTTATCCTTTACCCCAAATCGATGATATGTTGGATGCACTTGGTGGTTCCCAGTGGTTTTCAACCTAGATCTAAAATCCGGGTACTGGCAAGTTGAATTGGACCAAAAAGACAAAGGGAAAACAGAATTCAGCATGGGTGGTGGCTTGTGGCAATTTCAAGTTATGCCCTTCAGATTATGTAACGCTCTATATAACGATTATGTAACTGATTTTCAAACGGTTAATGGATCATGTCGTAGCTGGTTTACCATGATCGGTTTGCTTGGTATATCTTGATGACATAATTGTACATGGCAGAACGTTTGAAACTGAATTGGAAAGTCTACAGCAGGTTTTCAAATGTATTTGAAATGCCAAACTGAAACTTTCGCCGGCCAAGTGTAGTTTGTTCTGCCGCAGAGTTAAGTGTTTCGGACATGTTGTGAGCCATGAAGGCATTGCTGCCGATCCGACAAAGATAGAGGTTATAAAGTCATGGCCCCGGCCCCGTGACCGAATGGAGTCCAAAGAACAAGTTTCTAACGAAAACGAGCGGTGCCCAACTCACGAGGAGACGTTAGGACAGATAAATATTGTAAGAAGGTGTAGCAAAGGAGCACCGGAAAATGATTTGGACTATGAAAATATCCTAGAAAGCACCTCTTTAGCCCAGTGAAAGGACACGGATATTGGTCCAGTTATTAAGTGGATGTCAGTAGTATTAGTAGTAGAATTTGTTGTTGTCTTGACAAGTTTTGGGTAAAAAGCGTACAAAATAGTTGGGAAAAAAACTTGAAAAAATACAGCTGGAAGACTAAATACATACAAAAAGGCAACAAAAAATGAATATAAGTGATTTAGAAAGTACCTTGAATTCTTCTGATAATAACTGCTAGATATATTTTCGGTAAAACACAAAAAATACAATAATTTCGAAAATTAAAACTGAGTAATAAACACAATGAAACTTACGATTTACCGTCTTTCGTGGCAAATCCAGCAGCCCTGATGCTGAAACACTTTGGCAAATTAGTCTGCGTGTCACTGCATTTTATTTCCACTATTTTAAACAATTTTTCCGGCTTTGTAGCATCAAAAGTTTGTATATTGTTTTGGCAACTTTTCTTCGCTCGCTTAAAAATTCAAACGACAGTAAAAGATGTGTGTGACGTTGCTGAGTACATGTTAGAAGAATTTCAACGTCTTAAAGTGCACCTGACCCTTTATTATTACCCATATGGAATCTCTACCATTTATGAAGTATATTGCACAAAACATTTTTTGATTTGGATAAATATTCTCCTCGCAGTGGACAAATTTTGTCAACGGACGTCTGAGGGATAGAGGTCTGGGGATAGTGTGAGTTGTGACGTAAATTCCGGAACAAAACATTGATGGCTGTGTAAATATTATATTACATATTGTAATTTTGTCTTGCGTTTGAGCTCTTTCTTTGGAGGTTTTAAGTTTATTTTTCTAAGGCAGCAAAATTTGTCTTCAAAATCAACTGAATCAAATACTAGCCAATCTTCCGATTACTCAGAAGGAAGTTTTTCCTCAGAATATGAGAAGGAAGTCGAAGTTCAATCTGGTGAAGAGTCTGACCAAGACGTCGATGTCAATGAAGATGCGAAATATTCAGCACTTTCTACTTCCAGCGATGAAGAAACATTTTTATGCGCTGATGATCCAGTTGGTGACGTGGACTGGCAGATACAAAGAGGAGATGCAGGAATTGAAAGAACAAGAGGAGCAACCCAGTGCCTGTTTGGATGGAACAGTCAACACTGGTGAATGGTAAGCATGCCAGATTCATACATTTGACTTTTCCCACATGTGGCATATGGTATTGTTTATAAAACCATTGATGTCCAATTCTCATAGCCTTGATTCGTGAAATTGACAGTAGACTAGTTTATTATCAGTTAACACATTTCCCCCTTGACATGTAAATCCTCTGACATCAGACAGGATAAATTATAAAAACATGTAGAATCTTGTTGGTCTAGATGCACCTACTTGAAAATATATAAGGAGAATTTTGACGTTTCGATTGAATGCCCTTTGCCTGTAGCAATACTGAACAAAGTGCCTTCGCTCGGAATGTTGAAGTTCGCCTTATATATTTTCAAGTAATTGCATCCCTTTCGACGAAAGCTTGTTTCATTTTATTGGCACTACCTACACCGAGAAAGACATGGGCCCATCATTGGAGGCACAATACCATTTTATTGGTATTATTTTGTCTCTATTTCAAAACATTTCATCAGACCAATGGCTTTGTTTCTGTAAAATAAAGTATTTCTTTTTAAGTGTGAATTAATTTCTTGTTTTATTAAATTGTATGTCAAGTTTTTTTTGGGTTAAACATATTTTTATTCGGATAATTTTTAAACAGGTGTAATTGTGGAAAGTGTTGACTTGAATTCTTACAAAACATATCCGACTGCTATTGTTGTAAGGGAACTTGATGGTTGTTGCAAAGCAATGCAAAGTGAGATTGCATTACAAGACCTTCCTCAGGGTTCAACAATAAACTGCATTGTTGACCATCCAGGGTTTAATCCTGTTTGCCTCCAGAAATGGAGTCTTAAGATGGCAGCATGGCTATATAAGACCAAAGAGAAAAAACATACAAGAAAACTGGGAAGTGATGATATGTATGTTAAAAATTGTTTTAACCCTTTATGTTAGGAAATTGTCAAATTTTGGCCACCTGCACATCCTCAAGTCCCAGTCTTCAGCTTAACACATGCAGCGCGGCCTAATGGATGATTGATTTACAGCCATAGAAGGACCGGGAATATCCCTCTTTTATGAAGGACGTGTATGATCCTGTTCATTGTTTTTACGAAGTAAATCAAGCATTACTCAAGCTCTATTTTGATATGGAAGGATCAATGTGCGAAACAATTTAAGGCAAGATATTTTACCAAAACTTTGGACAACTAGCGCGATGGATTCCTGCTTTGTAGAAAGGTAATATTGTTTGTATTATGTTAGTATTTTGCAGATTTTATATCAAATACGCTGAAAAGTAAAACCATAGAACCGTAGATGTTTTATAGTTTTTGTTTGTGGACATTTCAGTACCGAATTAATTGTTTAAGTGAAAATTTGACTCGAACTTTTGTATCTTATTCTAGCTTTTTGCTGGTTGTTCTGCAATGGGTTCTAAAAGCAACAGGAAGCCTCGTCAATCGGCCAACACTAGCCAAGCGCTCAGATTCCCAATCGGAGAACTGGCCAAGAGAAAAGATGAATTAAAAGATAATTTTCTTTCCAAATCTAAAGAGTTAAATGCCATGAGAAAGAGAATAAAGAATAAAGACCAAGGTTGTTTTCAACTCGTATTTGATACATGAAAGTGCTATCAGCATAGTATGTTTTATTCTCTTCATGTTTCTTGAATATGCATTCAAAATGTTTATTGACTTTGATTTAGCCAGGGTATGTGAGAATTTTCTCTGTAATAGTCCAATCAGCTAAAGTTAGAGTAAAATCAAAAGCTATGTGCAGTTTGGCAGTTAAATTTTTAAAAGTGGCAATATTTCATCAAGGGATATTTCATGTTCTGCTCATTTACGCACTGTTGACGTATTAAGCTGCAATGCACTACAATGGGTCCTACTTTTATATTTCCCTCTTTCCAATGCCAGAGACTTTTGCTCATTAAGGCAATAGTATTGAACATTAATGGGGTTAATGAGATACTTGTTTGAGTTAACCCATTAAAACTGGCAATGTGCCCAAATGCACCCCACTTCAGTATTTACTCTGTCTAATGCCAGACGATTTTATTTGTCAGTGGTAGAGTACTGCCAGTAAATGTGTTAATGGGCAGTGCTACTCTTGACTAGTAAAATTATCTTATGTCCAACAAAATAAAACAATGTGACTCATTATAGTAACCCATTAACCAACACCGCATTGTTGGTTAATATGTTACAATAAGTGAACTCCACACTACATTTTTAGATGAGTTTCCTGAATGAGAAAAACACTAAAATTAAGATGGCGGAACAAAATAATCAAGTACCAGCATTTGAAATATTGGACAAGACATCATTTTCAAGAAAGAAACACCCTACACACTTAGACCCCAGTGGAAATGTTGACATCCCCCAAAGAAGTATGTCCAGGCGCCTTCAAGAAACACTTTTGGCTTGATGCATGGGGCATCCAAGAAAAGCAGACATGGCGCCAGCACTTGATGGGATGTTTTGCACGCTCAAAAAGTATGCCAATATTGACGATTTTTAAGAGTATATGAATAAATCTAAAAAAATTGTAAGTACAACTAGTGTTAGGAAAGATGTTAGTGAGTTTGAGAAAAGTCCAGAAAATGTCTCTCGGTCACTTTCCCTACTTTTAAGTAAAAGAAAATATGCCCATATTAGATCAGCACTTAGTATCACAACAGCAAAGGGCTATCTTCAGAGAAGTAGATTAATGTTAGGAAGGGGGATCCCTCTTCCAAAAGTTATCCCGTACAAGGAATTAATTTCTAAAGTTAATGAAGTTGATATAGGCGAGCTGCTTTCAATAAAATATACATTGTCGCGTTCCCAATCTGAGCACTTCATGGGAAGAGCCAAATAGGAGTTTGTTTAGTGTTCAACCATGCAAGAGACCATAACTTTACACTTTAACTTTTAATAATCGTAGCAAAATGACATACAAATTTACATAAACATACATAGTCCTCAAATGTGCAGTAAAACCACATAAAAATAAAAGAAAAATACACGCTATAACACACGAAAGGTAGACGATTGTTCAATGTCAAAAGTCTGACGACTTACATTTATAATGTCCCCAAAATTTAACAGGAAATATAAAATATAGCTTGTGTCTATGAAATCTGATGAAATACAACGTTCGAAAAACGTTATTCCTGTTGCTAAAGCCTAGTTCACATAAAATCATTAAGCAGTCGCAGACATGTGCCGAATTTTTATATGAACGATCTGCGACGGATCGGGAAAGTTGAACCAAGTTCAACTTTCCCGATCCGTCGCCGATCCAGTCTCGGACAGTCTGTGTGAATCTGCAGTTGCGTTCATATAAAAATTAGGCACATGTCTGTGACTGCTTAACGATTTTATGTGAACCAGGCTTAAGGCAACCAAACCACACAAGTCCTGGGCTCCACCGTTCGTATATCGACGACAATTCCCAACTCACGCCACATACTTCTTCAAGTCATCATCACGTACATTGTGTGGCGATTTAACTGAGGAATGAAAAGTTGATGGTGTGTATAGAAAATAAGAGTCTATGGTTCTATCTCTTGTGAAGTTTTCCTTAGAAGAAGATTCACGTCGGAAGGAAAATGATAGACTAATGCTCCGTTTGGAAAATGGGGCAGGTCTGTCTCTTGGTTGGTCGGCTTTCTAAATGTCGGTCCTTGCGTTGCCAGCCTAATAATAATTTCCTCTTATTCGATGCCAATTGCAAAGAAACACACAATGTTGTTATAAAATTTTGTAACCTTCTTGCAGAGCAATGTCTAGCTATTGAAAAGAAAACATATTCTTTGTGTGGCATGTCAGTTAAATTTACTTTTGAGTTAGTCCCATCTGACATGAAGTTTCTAGCCTTTATAAATGGTGAACTGTCCAACTCAGCTACGTACTTTTCCAGTTTTGCAAATGTATCTACTAATGATATTTCGTGTTTACAGGGTAAATTTGGCAAAAATTTAGACCGTAAATGGAAACCTTGGATATATGATGAAAGAGTTAAAGTGGCATGTAAAGTATATCAATTTAACGCCACCCTATCAAATAAGCTTTCAGTCCCTACACAAAGAAAAAAAGTGACACAATTCATTGCTAATCATAAAACGAGGCAAGAGTTCAAACCTTTTATTGGTCCACTTTGTGAAAAAACAGTTCTTGAACCACTGCATTTAAAAAATAATGCTGTGCAAAAGCTACACAATCAACTGCTGAAATTAGCTCTTGCCAATAGCAATCTCCCAGCCAACATTTCTTCTCTAACAGAAATACCCGAGTGTAGTATTAAGAGGTGTTTGGTAGCATTGGAGGTTGATGTGAAAGCAACTAGGCTTAGAAAACAGTTAAGTGGTTATTTGAAGAATGAAAACATGATAAAAATTTCATCTACCGATTCACAGGTAAAGATTCTAGGCTTATATTGCATGGTTTAATGAATTCGGTTAGTGCCATCAAGGGCAAAAGTACAGATGTTAAATTAACTACAAAAATCCTTATCATTGTCTTCCTCGCTCTAAGGCTTAGTTGATTTCGCTTTTCTCAATCTATCATTTCTTTGAAGATAAGGTTGAGAGATTATTCTTGCCCACCTCTCAATACTGGTTGGCCTTGTCCTTTATTAGGGATTCGCCTTCCCCAAATGAATGGAGCATTGGCAAGATTGTTGCTGTCCATGCTAGGTGGATGTTAGAAAAATATGGGGTTGGGCTTGGTATAAACACAATGCTGCTTATGCAAAGCATAGCCATATTAGAAATTGGTGGCAAATTATTTTTAGGCATGACTATATCAGAAATGTCTGGTTGCCACTTCAGCAACCATCTCTTTTGGTGCATCACCGATCTAAGGAAAATGTTGTGCCCGAGGGAGTGGAGAAAGATTTGTGTAATTGCCATTGTGGTTTCATGAGGAATTCATGTAGCTCAGCAACTGTTAAATACTTTTGCTGCAATCATGAAATTATGTCAGAAATCGTTAGGTCTGTTGCAGCTGCCAGAATTACCAAAAGGCTTTCTACTATCCTTCGCTGCTAAAGTCTAATCTTGTTGTGAAGTTAGTGTCAAATTAGTTTCCTTTAAGTGAAATGGATGTTGTTTAAACTGATGTATTTCAATTAATATTACACTATAAAGTTTATTGATATAAGAGTTTTAAAATTTTTTATAAAAGTTGTTGAAAATGTTATTGATGTAATTAATTTTTTTTATGATTTAATTATTTACTGTAGATGTCAGATAAGGGGGCTGATTACATGGAGAGTTTTTAGCCTGGACTGAGTTTTTCCCATTGAGTGCAAGCACTCTTCCCCTGACAAGTAAAATCACCTGGCATTAGACAGAGTAATATAATAAAGTACTGTAGGGTGCATTGCCACATAAAGGGCAACCACTTAACCCTTTAAGTGGCAATGTTCCCTGATGCATCCCTACTTTATTATTTAATCCATTTAATGCTAGACAATTTTTCTTGTCAGGGGAAGAGTGCCGTAACTCAATGAGTTAACATGCAGTATCTAACAAGTCAAATATAGCCATATTCACTGACTATTCCAGATTGAAAATGCTAATGTACAGTAATTGTGAAACAATTTATAGGGCCTGCTTATATCAAAGCCAGACCCGCTTAGCAAGACTGCCCAGTAAGCAAGATCTTGCTGTCTAATTATGGTAAAATATACAGAGTGTGCATTTATATGGACAAGCAGGCTAGCCTTGTTGCCAAGATCCTGCTTGAAAGAGGCAAGATCTTGCTTAATGTAACAGGATGAACATGTCTCAATGTAAACACTCACAAACAGGTTGGTCTGGTTCTCGGTCGAAAGGTCATAGATCCTGTTGCAACATATTTTCAGCAACTGTCAAAACAATGTCAAGACAACAAAATTGTCATGGCAAGTGGGATGAAATTTCCCTGTAAAAACACATGCAAAATTCATCCTGCTTACTGGACTGTCTTGCTAAGCGGAGCAACCTCTGGCTTCTCTATAAACAGCCCTTTAAGCCAGGTTTCCACTTCAACCATGTCGTAGTGAAGCATAGCATATTTCTTTGCTTCCTGACCACTAGAGTGGAACTAATGACTTCAACACAAAAGGTACGTTACCATACGGTTGAAGTAGAAAATAGGCTTAAGCCCTGTCATCTGGGCAGAAACTCAGTCCAGCATAAAGATTCGGTCTAATCAGCCCCTAACTCCTTGGCTTTGTGTCGAGATAGCTTTTATATCCACAACAAATTACTCTACTTGAAATTAGGCTGAGATAGATATCATCTAGCCATTGTTCACAGCTGTCAACAATACTGAACATTGTTCATCTTAAATCGGGTGTAACAATGCTGATCAATAATGTTTAACAACTTGCGAACAAGGAGTGCAGCACAACATTGTTGCATCCTGTTTTTAACAACTTTGACCAGACCTGCTTGCTCCACCATGCTTTCAACTGTTTGGCATGTTTACAACTATTAAAAAACTCATTAATAATTCATGAATATCTGATACAACACAATTCCAAATTGTTGTTATACATATTCCAAATTGTTTCTCATGTTGTAGTTATACATAATTCCAAATTGTTTCTCATCAGAGATAATGGCCTCAACCCGTTTAAGAGTTTAAAAAGTTTTTGTAAAAAAATCCCCTCTTGGCAAGTCAGATTGCATCAGCCATAAGAACAGATTGGCCACCCGAAGGTGGGATGTGAAAGCCCAACCTTGTTCCCAGTGTCTCACCTCCACTCCCCCCTGCTCCGGAGAGACCCTGGTATGGTGTGGTCATGTGAGTCATGACCATGTGCTATACTCAGTAGAGGTAGCAAGGGGTGGCATGATTGAGCACTTATTGACTAAAAATAGCAAGTGTATATTAAAACAGAGTATTTTAAACAGCCTTTACAGTTTAGGTGATAAATAAGGTCAAACTGTAATAAAGCCAGGTGACTGAAAGAGTAGAGGAAGCATCACAGCAGGAATCTATCTTGTGCAGTTTTTTTGCTTTCTTCATTCGCCGGTGTTAAAATACAATTCATTACTACAAATCACCCTAGCATCACAATAATAATGATTTCGTAAATCTGTAATTAATTCTTCACAACTACAATGTCGCTCATTCGTTGCTAAATATGCTCCACATTTACACCACATATACATATAACCCTTGACCCGAACCAATAAATCACACGTATATTTTAATATCTGTATCAATCGGTCCGATAACAAGACACCATGTTTTGTCAAAATCTGCATTGAGATCCTTTTAACATCTTTATAGTGAATTAAGCAGAGTGTGGTAATAACCCTTTTAACAGTATCTCGAACAAAACGGGTAACCTCATCTATAAAAAAATTACTTTAAAATCGGAAATGTATTGAATTCTCACTTGCTGTTCAACATGGGTATGGGGTTCGATATACTTTTGACGACTATGAACATAAATTGACTTAACGGGATAAATTTGAAAACACACCTCTACTTCAGCATATAGTCCTTGAATCCAATTTATTACACCTACAACCACTCTACGAGAACCGTTAGGATCACAATATATACCAATAAGGTATATATAAAATGCTGGTGCGGGTGTTATATAACCCTTAAGGGTTATAGTTGGCCATTGTCTTAAAGTTATATTGAGGTTTATCTCTTTTTCGTGAGCCATTTGTAGGAAAAATTGAAATATATCATAATCATCTCTGATTCTTTTATAGACTGCTAATTTCTCATCATCATCAGTACAAGCACACAGTTCTACTACAGCCATATTGTTAAAACTTGTACTCTGTTTTGATACAACTTTTTGCATATCGAGCTAATACAACAAAACCGTGGTGATACTAAAACACCTGTGATGTAGAGAATATGAGAAACCGTTGTCATCACACTACAATCAAGATCGTTTATACAATAGTTAAAACTACGCTGAAAGGCGGTATCATCCGAATAACTATCCAAAACAATCTCACGGTTGTAGTGTTATCATGTTATTACATAAAGTATTACTTAGGTAATAGCGAGTGCGGGCTCACTTCTTTTCCAAGTACATAAAAACAGCTCTTGTATTCTACTTTTATGTTATGTTATTAAACCGTTCTAATCCTTTGTAATCCTGATGTTATATCTCGTGGAGTAACACAACAACGGTGATAAAATGTAAAATAGTATGAATCCCAATCATACACTTTGAAATAATGTTTTTTTCTCACGTTGTGACGCTATATCGCAACATTTAAACGGATACTTGTGTCCCCATTCTACAGTTATTTCATTAAACTGTGCGGTTAAAATATATCTTATGCCAGCATAAATAATATCTTTATGATACCAAGAAACTTTATACCCTGTATATGTTATCAATCTACTAGTTGTTACATGTTGCTTAAGTTGTTCCACACATTTATCAAAATCCAGGTATTCCTGAGGATACATTTTATAAAAAACAAATCATATAACCCTTACCATTTATAAATAATCAATTCTTGTCGAAGATGAATTAATTGTCAAATTCAAAAAGTCAACACTTTGGGGCACATATAATAACACAACATATAAAACAAAAATATCAACGCTAACCCAATAAAATTTTTAATCCCATATGTATTTTTAATTGAAAAAATATATATGTCAACATTTGTCGAAGCAACGCCATATGTTTAATTTTATCCTTTAATCTGTATAATAAGATTACGAAGCATATCACATATGTTTGACAAAGTTGTTAAACTCACTGTAAATCAATGTGTGCAAGGTATGACATCTGAGCAAGTACAGTTCAGAGATTTGTTATTACGACTTGGCAAAGGTGACTCAACAGTTGTTGACTGGAAGTTACTTCTGACACGTCAACCATCGAATGTCACTAATTTATGTGATTTTGAAGATTCCGCTAGACTCTTTTATAGTAATGAACAAGTTGCTAATTACAACCATGAGCAGCTAATGAAACTTGAGCATCCAATTGCTCCTATTAATGCTCGCCATTCATCAGCATTGGCAAAAAAGATATCCTCAGATGATATGTCTGGGTTAGAACCTGTTGTGTTTCTAGCAAAAGGTGCTAGGGTGATGTTAACCATGAATTTGTGGTCAGTATTATGCAAAAAATTTCCACTGACATGACGGCGCAGAATAAGGTAAACATTGGAGGGTGAAAACCCTACGCGGCAATGCTTCCAACAAATGGCTAAATGTTTGAATATTATGCGGATATTTCCAAGATTGTTTAAATCTGAATAAACATTTAGTCAAGATAGACGTCTGTTGGAATATTGTCTATATAATAATGGAAATTGCCGTTCAAACCAATGTTATGGCACAGATGTTGGTCAATATGGTCATGTCTACTTCCCAGGAAAAATGGAATCTTTTAAGATATATATGCCCTATTGCTACAGTGTATGTATGAAGGGTGATTACCGCCAAAATTCATTATGCCATTTTGACATTCAATTTGACCCAATTATACAGTTCTATTCGGCAAAATCGTATTCGGCTGTTTCGTATTCGGCTGTTACAGTATGTATTCGGCTGTTATGTATTTGGCTGTTATGTATTCGGCTGTTTTGTATTCGGCTGTTATGTATTCGGCTGTTATGTATTCTGCTGTTTTGTATTCTGCTGTTTTGTATTCTGCTGTTTTGTATTCTGCTGTTTTGTATTCGGCTGTTTTGTATTCGGCTGTTTTGTATTTGGCTGTTTTATATTCGGCTGTTTCGTATTCGGCTGTTTTACGGCAATTTTACATGATGTACAGGATCCTGGATCTGAAAGTTTATAAGATCGCAGGCTCGTATATACATAAAAACATGGAGGAAGACTTCACAATCGAGGTAAGAAATCTTCTGCGACGCTGTGTTTTAAGTATACTTCACCAACTAGAGCAACGTAGTGGTGAAAGCAGCAGTCTTGAAAACGCTCAGTTTGGTTGGAGTGGTTATTGGGTATAGTGATAAGATATCATCACAGTAATATTATTCAACGGGCTGTTGTCGATCTCCTCTCAGAAGCACTATCTATCATAACCAATTTGTGCGAAACACAACACGATGCAGCTGCTTGACGTTTGTTCTCTGGGTCTCCTGGCCGACCAAAGTTCAACATATCCCACGAACAACTTGAATTTCTCCTCGAAAGACTTTTTACTACAGTACAAATGTCGAGGTTACTAGGTATTAGTGTGCGTACCATAGAGCGTCGCATGGCGGAGTTTGGTTTATCAGTTAGAGCGACTTATACAATTATATCAGACGAGCAGTTAGATACAACAACGTTGGAAATTTTGACTAGTTTTCCAAACATTGGCTATAAACGAATGACTGGTCATTTGCGATCTCGAGGAATGAGAATCCAGCAAAAAAAAATTCGAGAGTCAATGCGAAGGGTGGATCCACAGGGGACTCTTGTTCGTGCATTGGAAATGAACATCATACATTGCAGAGCATATTCAGTCCCGTCACCTTTAGGTCTATGGCACATTGATGGTAACCATAAGCTAATAAGGTATGCTACAGTGCAGGGGTGTATATAGTTACCAGAGGGGTTACTTTCTCCCCTGCCAAGGTCTCGAAAGGGTTATTTTTTTCCATTATTCAGGAGTGGTATAAGAAATGAACCCCAAAGAAAATGATGGATAGTTGAGAAATTGTTAGTGAGGGATGTTGGAGGGGTCCTCCCCAGAAAAAGTTTGTATTTTTGAGACTCCATGCCTAGATTTCTTGGATTTTAGAGACATTTTTATATATCTCATCTAAATGGACTGATCTTTCCTTCTTTCCCCTGGTCAATCCCTGAGGAATGACAAATATAGTGCTAACGCTGCAGGGTAGGGATCAAGTGACCATACCCTGTAGTAGGTCATAATTCCCCAAACCAAAGTACAGTAGCTTATTCAACTTTTGAAAGAAGATGTTATTACAAAACATAAATGGTACAAGGCAAAACAATTGCATAATCCAATGGTAACATACTACGTAGCTTTCAAATTCCCTGCCTCAGGAAGAGCCAAATTGCAAATGCCCCACTTTTGCCAGAGAGGAATGGATTTGACTGGTCACATCCTGGTTTGAAAGGTCTTCTGTCAATTTGAGGTATACGTCCTTGATCAATTTTCGCTGGCTTGAGGGGGTATACTAAATCGGTTCATATTATGTTCATTTAGGTGGAGATTTGTTATTCACGGTTGTATCGATGGGTTTTCTCGCATGGTTGTGTATTTGGGATGTTCCACTGATAATAAAGCTGCTACCGTTTTTACCCTTTTTATGGATGGTGTGACAGAGTTTGGTTTGCCTTCACGAGTTAGATCCGATAAAGGGGGTGAAAATGTTGATGTTGCCTGGTTCATGCTTACACACCCACGTCGAGGCCCTGATCGTGGAAGCCATATCACTGGTCGAAGTGTCCACAACCAGCAGATTGAAAGGATGTGGAGAGACCTTTTCGCTGGCTGTACTCACCTTTTCTACGAGTTGTTTCACTTCATGGAGGAATGTGACATCTTAGATGCATCAAATGAACATCATTTGACTGCTCTTCATTATGTATATCAACCTAGAATTAACAGGAGCTTAGCAGATTTTAAATCCGGTCACAATAATGGGCCTATTAGCAGTGAAGGTAATCAAAGTCCTGAACAACTTTGGATTAATGGCATGATAAGGAATAGGAACCCTCATGGGACAGTTGCAAGAGAGTTTGCAGAACAGGTAAATGTAGTAAATACAACAAGTCATATTATTCTGTATATATTGATTAATTAATAACACTTGTGTTATTAAGAACAGTGCTGAGAAGTAATAATAAATTAATAGTATTGCTTATTAATTAAGCAATGGAGTAAAATAACACAATTAAATATTCCAATTAATTAACCAACTAATCTTTACATAACTGATAACAAGTTTTCATTAACCATAAAATATTCTGTTCATAATCATAAATACGCTTTTAATTCGACCAGCGATTGTAGAATTCAACAATTTCTATTGATAGCTCGCATCTTTACATGTCGGAAATGAATTGATACACGGTCGACTCTACTTTAACATGTGGTGTCTTCTGTCTCCAGAAAATTCCACCAAAATCTATGTAGCCAACATTGGTTTTTAAATATAAAGGAAACTGGAGAATAATTAATATATTAGCATCCAAATTGAAACAAAAAATCATAGCTGAGTATACACACTTATATAGACACCAAATTTTCAAGAAATTGTTAGAGTTTTTTCATTAATAATATAATACAGTGTTCTTGAAATCCACCCTTTATTCAACGTAGAGTAATAAAATAAAAACCACATATAGACAATATTTAATACACTAATCATGTGGTCAATCACTGTCCTCTACAGCTATGTCCTATTTAATTTGAAATATTCAATTACTCTTCCCCAATTTCAGGTAAACGCGAATTTTTTTTTTACTTTTGGCTAACACACTGTATACACTATAATTGCACAAAATATTTAATTCCTTGCATGTACAGTATTTGAGTAATTCATCTATACAGCTTTGCCTGGCATGATGGTAGTGAATCACAATATTGTCAATCTAGGCCGTTCAAATGGTAATTTATACTTATATAAATTCTAGGTATATACAAGTATTATTAAGGAATACGAACGAGTACCTTGCATTCTGGCAGCCAAGTTCTTGTGAACCATCTTTCTAGTTTGCTATTAGTCTTCCATATCTGCACAATTCAAAAATAATGTATAATGTTTTTTTATGACTTCCTGGTTGTTTTTTAAAACGTAATATAGAAACCGTTATTGGACATGGCTATATCGCAAATTCGTGCCGAAATGCGGATGCAATGCAATGAATATTGTGTTATCTAGCTTATGCTACAGTGTGTAATCATATTGCTTTAACGTTTCACCTCTAATTGTTTCAGATCGTTTATAGCAGAATTGTACGATTCCTCTGATCCTGCATGCGCAACCTTCCTCAGTGCTGTCAGTACAGTTTCCTTGTGACCGGACACATCATTGGCGGACTTGCTAACCCATCTTTCCCAGGCTTGCTCTCGATGAAAATCGCAAAGGTAAACAGTGCAATCTACATGAGAAAGAATATAAATTTGTACATCCTGTTTGATATTTGCTATTGCGAGTTATGATGTATCTATTTTTCTGGCACATTACGGTTTGCGAGGATTAAATGCAAGAAAAGAAAAAGTACGGACACCTCATGGAAACGATCATAACCAGTCTCAATAATCAGTCATTGGAAAACTATAACATACTCAATAATAAATTATAATTCTAAAAAATAATATTATTGTTACAATGAATTGTGTTTGTCAACAACTTTCCGAAACTGAGAAAACTTTTTGGTTTTGTTTCATTTTTCTTTTTCTTTGCTGGTATTGTACTATAGTCATAGATTATAGGTATATGAATATACATATATGAGATGTCACAGTATATACATACTGTAACAAATACAGACGTGTGCATGACAATACATAAAACACAAATAATTTAACAATACCTGGGAAAACTTCTTCAATAGCATTAATTTCTGCCTCGCAGAAATCCGTCATAAAGCAAGCTGGTTTCCAACCAGGGTTCCAGCTTGAAAGCACCTTCAGTCCTTCCATAACGCACTCTTTTGACTCTCCTTGGGTTACAAACGAACCAACAACCTGGTAGTCGACATTTGTTTTGACAACGAGGAAAAAAAGTGGGACTGCAAACCTTGTTGTTTTGTAGGTTGCATCCAAAAGACAAAGATCGTTCCCATATTTCAAAAGCAACCGTCTCTGCCACGCAGACTGATGAACAAATAACAACGATTTTTCAAGATTGACATGTTCCTGAAGTCCAATGGCCATGTCATCCTCTTCCTTCGCTTGATCGTCGTTTCCTTCCTTCGCTTCATCTTCGTTTTCTCTCTTCGCGTTGTCGTCGTTTACGTTCTCCGATTTATCGTTGACGTTCTTTTCTTTCTTGTCTTCAGCCGCACTGGTTGTTCTTACTGTGATGCATCCCTCTTGGTAAGGCCTGTAGAAGAAATTATCTTCGGCATACTTCTTTTCCCAATCACCAGTTTTGGCAGACACGTTTTCCTGATCAAATTTAGAAAAACGGCTTTCTATTGTTGCCAAATACATATGGTTTCTAATGTCAACCTGCTTCGGGTGGAATCTTCTGTTTGTACATGGTGGAAGTTCTTGTCCAAGGAATAGTTCATTTTTAACATACTGGCGAATGTGCCTGCCCATTTCCCTCACATTATTCACACCTTCACCAACCAAAATACGAATTTTTTTCACTATTCTTTCGTCCACTGGTTGAGACATTCCGGTTGCCTTAAAAACAACATATACATTGTACAATTTCTTTAAACTTCTGTTCCTCTTTTTGTATACAGCTATTTCAATTAAGGTTTGTCTTAGACAATGGTCAAATGTACAATATGAGCGGAAAGAACGATGGGAATAACATTGTCTTCAACATGTTTATGCATAACAAACAAGTAAAGATAATGATATTCCCATCATTCTTTCGCGCTCATATTGTACATTTGGCCATTGTCTCTGACAACCTTAATTGAAATAGCTGTAGCTATAACATGCATAAAAATATCATGCAATCACACTCACAAGCGGGAAATTAAAAAAAAATATCAGAGAGAACTACATTAATTTCTGTTCAATATTACCAAAAGAGTTACCGAACGAAGCTCACAGGGAATACCGGAAACAAATATGAATCTCACATTTACCTCGCCATTCAAATGGGTTGTATGGTCCGCAGGAGTAGGCAAATACATATAAATCCTCCGTTCTCCCAGATTGGCATTTTCTTGGAGCGCTTCCTTCAATTTCGCTGCGGCTACATCTCGTCTTTTTCTGGAGTCAATTTCAATCTAAAAATAAATTTACGTAGATCTGTGGAAAACGTAATTCCGTTTAGAGCTTTTCAAATATTCACCTATAAAGGCTATATGTCCTGGATCTTCAATACTCAGCAATGCAATCATACATACCGGAATGGCAAACTGTGGGAACTTGATCACCTCGCACATATTTATTTTTGCTTCGCAGCCAAACTTTTTTGTCCCTTGGACGCGGAATCTTCGTTTCTTGAAATCATGGTCACGATGCTACCAAAGGTAAAAAACTGAAATAATGAATTATGTGTAACAAGCTAAAAAAACTGTCGACAAAAGAGCTATGACCTATGTATAAAATGGAAAAAAAACCCACTTAATTAAAGTTTGTTCTGCGTATCAGTTGTACTTAATCAATATAACATTATATGGAAAAATTGCCCTTTTTTATAATTTAATATTATTTAAACCAATGCCCCCCCCCCCACAATTTGAGATTTGTCAGAATTTTTTGAAATGTTAGACGTTTGTCGGAAATTTTTTGAAATGTAGCGGTTCTCGAAGCAGTTTTAGCAAAATTAAGCCGGTTTTCCACTAGGCGGAATTTTGCGCGCGGAGCGGAATTTTTCTTTGTCTTGTGATTTCTCGGGTGGAACTAATTAGAAAAGGACAAAGATAATTTCCGCTCCGCGCGCAAAATTCCGCCTAGTGGAAAACCAGCTTTACGCACGTCCGTCGGAATTTTTTTTAGCAGTTACCACGACGGCCATGATCTTATATTTTTAGCTTTAAACCGGCTGACGAAACCGGCTGGATCATAGCTGGATATGTAACAGTGTTTGCGACAGTATAGACTGACTTACCGCGTCACTTTGTGCTTTCGTTTTCCTATAATTGTGCCGGTCAACACCATGCTGGCAGTCAAGAATCTTGGAGTCCAGTATTATAAACGGAACACCATCAAATCCCATCCGAGTACAAGCGTCTTTATTACCATCTTCCCAACGGACTCGGTGTTTAGATTTACATAAATCTGTAGACGAAATTTCGAAGCGTTATACGCGGTACGCTTCGGTAAATATCGCTTTATACTTTCATAATCGCATGAATTATTGATGATTACGTACCTGTTCTGCCGAAGGATGACCTAGATTTATAACAGGAGTACTTGCTTGTTGTTCGCGTTTCGAATTCCCGCACAACTTGCTCAGCTTGCTCACGCGAATAGACATAACCGCAATTCGGAGTAATCTGAACGTCAAAATGCGGCTTGTAATCACCCGCCATATTTACAATTTGTCTTTCCCGCAAAAATATGACTTAGACCGATGTTAATTATCAATTAGTTAAAATAGCCGCTGATTCTTAGATAATATCGCGGGCACATGGTGTCTCACGGTATGGCCATTAGTGCTTTCCTGCACGGAACCATGTGTTTTATTCAATCATCCCCTTTTCGCATCTGCTAAACGCGAACCAATCAGCGTCGACTGCGATAAATAAACTGTCAACTGTCAAATTGACGCAAGGCGTGTACATTATTGTACAACGAAGAAATACTGAATATTAAAATGTATACATGTTATGTGAACAATAATACAAAGCATTAGCGGGCCGCACAATATATTACTCGGAAAAATATAGAATTCTTCAAATATTAAATAGATATCAATACACATACAAATATAAAGCCGAGTAAAATACTACCATTGGCATTGAATGTACAGCAATACTTGTACTATGTGCAACTGAAAGAACAATGTTCTGAATATTTGAAGCTATTAATACTAAAATACGGTCAGATAGATTGGGGTTTGGAATACCAAATACGTCTAAAATTTTACTAACTGTGGTCTAAATAAATGATAAATGAGCATGTATTTATTAATTTCTTCGAAATCACGACTGTGCCAATAGTGGAAGCCGTATCGACGACGAAATTGTCAGCAGTTTATACAGTCAATAGTACAACGTTTAATGTACGATATATATTTATCTAAATGACATGCCAGCGAGGATCAACAATATAATTATTCGTACATATTTGGGTATCTTTTGTATGCCTTCGCTTGCTGACTTGCTCACTAATGAGAATAATCTGTGAAGCCACGATGACCTCAAAATGTAGTACTATAGTCTGATGTCAATCCGAAGTTCAGAATACTGTTATAGTATTGAATTTAAGCGATAGATTCAAGTCATTTATGGTATACTTTTTTGCTGTGATGCTTTGCTATTGCTTTTGGTTTCCATTTCTAGTGTTATTTGTTCGATAGTCTTATAATATATAATATTAAAATGAATAAAGTTCAAATTCTTCAAAATGCTGTTGTTGACATTTGCTATTTTTAGTAATTTTGTCAACGAGTGTAAGCCAATCAGAAGCCTGCGTTTCTATACGAACGCCACTACCAAGAAAACCTATAGTTCCGTGCAGGCCCTCTATTCTTCGCGCCGCCTGCAACCGAGGGCCTGTTCGCAGGCTAGCCATTTTATAAAGAAACTTGCATAACATTGATTCTGATGCAGTCACATACTGTATTGCATGGTTGTATTCAGTACTAGTCACATACAGCAATAAAATATATTACACATAAAGTATTATTGTATACACTTATTTCAATTAAGGTTATCACAGACAATAGACCTTTCCAAGGTTTCTACCGCCATATTGCAGGGGGTGCAAAAACATTGGGGCGAGCGTGTGGCAACCAATGGCGCCCATACTATTTCCTATTGAGTGAAAATTACCTTTTGACATTTTGTCCTTTTTCTCAAAAAATTTCTATACAAGCATATCCAATTTTTATTTTTGGATAATCGCTGGTTTTTTTCTGATATGTGGCCGAGATTTCTGGCTAATCAAAGGACAGGAAGTAATAAAAAACGGCGGCTTTTGTTGCACAACTTGACCGATGTTTGAGCAATGATTCTTGTTATTTCGTTTGTTTAACTGATCTTTGGAAGAATATCTGTCCATTAAGTGTGTAAGTTCTTTGGTGTCCGCCATTATTACTGTTTATATTTGTATATTTGTACAAAAATCATCGCTCAAACATCGGTCAAGTTGTACAACAAAAGCCGCCTGTCCTTCGATTAGCAAGAAATCTCGGCCACATATCAGAAAAAAAAACAGCGATTATCTAAAAATAAAAATTGGATTTGCTTGTATAGAAATTTTTTGAGAAAAAGGACAAAATGTCAAAAGGTAATTTTCACTCACTCAATAGGAAATAGTATGGGCGCCATTGGTGGCCGCGCGCTCGCAGCAATGATTTTGCACCCCCTGCAATATGGCGGTAGAAACCTTGGAAAGGTCTATTGTCCAATGTACAATAAGAGCGCTAAAACAAAAGAATGATGAGAATAATCATAGTTTTAAGTACGTTTAGTATATCAGTACCCTCGTGCGAATACTTCTAGAGACAGCTCGCAATGCAAATAAGGTTAACATGCAAAGTTAGATTCTCAAACGATCTGCATTGCCAGTTTGTCCCTCATATTGTGCATTTGATTATTGTCTGCAACTACCTTAATTGAAATAGCTGACACACTGTTGCTAAATTTTAAAGCACATACATATACTGTACTTGCTGCTATTTTAGCACTTACATAATTGTTTAAACCATTAACTTGCAACATGCGCCAGTTCAGATGCACCCTACTTTCGTATTTTACCCTAGCTTAAACGTGGCAGTGTTAGTAAGGTACTGGGCGATAAGGGGTCAATTTAAATCTTGTACACAGCTCATACCAGTTTTATCAATTTCAACCACCTAATCTAACACGTACATAAAAACCTACAGTATATATGGTACATACCAGATGAAATGTCGTCTAGCTCAAGCTTTCTTTTCTCAATGACATTGTACATCAGCAAGTACTGAACCACCATCTCTCTGTTTGATGAAAGTAGCTCAACATCAATCCCGGCTTCCAGCAGGTATGGTAATATTTCAGCAAACTTTTCATCTGGTACATTTTCATTGACTGGCAAGTCAAGAATCTAAAACACAAAGAAATGTGAAATGCCATATAAAGAAAATAAATGTGGATGGGAATTATACCAATAACTGTCATATACTCGACTGGTCCACTCCCACAAAAGATCAGATTTGAATATATAACTTATTTGTCTATAGCAATCTAGAAAACCCTCCCCTCAAAACATTTGTTGGGAAATCTACTGTATTCACTATATCTCATAATACGTCATGCAGGAGAGAATGCTTTGCATAATGGGGTGATGGCTACCTTCCTAAGGCAAATACAGTATGAAGAGTGGGGGGGGGGGGGCTCAGACCAAATTTTTGCAATATTTGAAAATGTATCACTTTCTCACAGCTGATCATTCTCTAAACAGCAGATTGTCCCAAATGTTTCCACCCTGGAGCTCCCCCTCCTCCTTGAATTATGTGGTGCATACTACCTGTTGTAATAGAATTTGCAATTCAATATCAGGCACATTTTTTATAGAAAGAGGTGGTGGGTTTGAAGAAATATCTTCGTCATCCTTCAATGTAAGGTAATGCTTGACTGATTCAGCCAAGCCACACAATGCTGGCCCCTCATGTAGAAATGAATGTCCCAAAATCCGACCAACTGCCCGAAAAGTGCCTGTTTGCCTCAGTCCAGGGTGGTGAATTGGTACTTTATGATCAGTCTCACCCTCAAAAAAAATAATGGGTTTTGATGTTGTAGCAATTCCATCTTCAACGAGTTTCACAGCATTGTGCAGAAATTCTCTAACAGGTCCAGCCCCTATACCTTCCTCGTCTTCAAATCTCACCCGAGATCTTGCAGTGAGATTCGTTCTTGGGTTTTTGTAACAAGCCAATATGTCTGCTTTCATCTCTTCAATGCCATCACTTTGACAGACACTGAAGAGCTGCCGAGGAGTATCTGCTTTAATGGTTGTGTTCCTATATCGCAATATTTCCTTATTTACATCATATGGTGGCTGTAATTTAAAGTTTTCCTCATCATCATTATCCTCATCTATATTAATTGGGATTTGATTCTGAAGTGGTCTGCCAAGCAATGCATCTATATCACTTTCATTGGATCCAGTATCACTATCTAGAAATATATAACATGCTTGTTTCGCCATACACATACATAATAAATTCACCATCTGCAATATTGTAACAGCAGATGGTACAATATCTCTCTATTGTGTTTCAGGGTCTGAAATTTGCAGTATCCTGATATCCATGGGATACCAAAAATTTTGTTTTGGACACCCTTTCAATAATTACGTCACACATACTTTTTGGTCTTGGAGCCTCGCTCTCATTAGTAAATTATGCAAGGTGATTGGCTCACAATGCATCAGAGTGAGGCTCCCACGCCAAATGACGTACTTCTCAAAAGGTTGTATACTAAGAAAATTACAAACATTAAGAAAATGTTAAACACCTTTAACGGGCTCCTGCTAGCTCTTGAATCCTATCAGTTTGCCACAAGTCTTTCCTCATCAGGGACTAGCATTTTGAAGATTGTTGAAGGATTATATTGTGGATTTTTGTGTATTAATGGCTTGTTTAGTTGTTGACTGTTGAGTCTCCAGTTGTTATTGTAATTTCTAACAGTGAGAGTTATGGAAATTTATTTTGATAGGATGGGGTATAATATATATGGTACTGGCAACCAGTATCCAGAAGTGGGATACTGGATTCTCAGGAGGGTTACTAAACTTTGAATCAGCTGGTATCCCAGTTGGATACTGAAAAAAAATATACAAATTTCAGACCCTGTATCACACTAACGAAGCTCTGAAAAATGTGTAAGTCAATCTAATCATGTAATGATATCAACCTTAATTAGGGCTTCCTACAGTAAATCTGTCCAAACCTTCTAAAATAATTCCAATTGCACGGCTCAATTTAAAATCTGATGTCTCCAGAGCAGATTGTAGACATTCTTCATTATGATCTGGAAACATCTCTTTCAAGGATGGCAACATCATAACCATTCTTATATCTTGTGTCTAAAATTAAAATTTTACATGCAAGCGTTACTATATGCACTATATAACACATTGATTAACCCAGTGAGTCACATATGCCCTGATGCACTATACATTGTTATCTTACTTTAGATGATTTTTACTTGTCAAGGGGAGACACTACTACAGTACCAGGCCCAATGAATGGTTAGGTTGTTAAATGTTGTCTGCATGAAAGTACTTGTACTAATTAAAACAGTTTCATTGGAACTAAAAAATACACACCTGGTTGTTTTTAGCACCATTTTCCATTGTGAAATCATCCTGGTCAGTTGATTCAGAAACAGATGCAGCCTCAGATGTTGGTACACTTACAGCTCTTGGTATTAAAAAAAAAACATTTCACAGATAAATAATTATGCAGAATTTGCCAATCAATGATGGGTACAATTGTGAGGCATTAAGAGTGATTAACTGATTATAAAGTACATATGTTAACAATGAGTTCAACAGCATCCATTTTCAATTATTTACCTTACACATTCATCATCATGATTCCGATTCATCATGATGATCCAATTTCTGTGATTGACCATTGACTGATATATTTAGTTGTCTCTTGTATAACACTCCTACTTTTCATTAAAATTTTGTCACAGTATTTGTTTTTACCTCAGGTGTATTTCTTAGGTCAGTGTCAGTCTCAGGAGATACATCTAGATCACATTGGATTGGTCTTATAAACAGCATGGACTGGCCAATTCCACATTTTTTTAAATGCTCAACACTATACCCTATAGCTGGGGGCGGGATTACTTCAAGATTGTTACCAGGAAGGCATTTCAGTAATTCGAACCCCCCACCACACATAAGTTTAGGAAATGTGTTTTCCAGGTCTTCTTTAAATGTTTGTGTGCTTCCCGTCGCATTAAATTTTATTTTCAGTCGTCCTAGCCCAGCACGCTGAAGGAGTTCTTTTTCCTCACGATTTGGCACTTTTTCTTCTGACGCTCTTGACAAGCAAAACATCTCGTGTGTCCAACTCTCATATCTGGGCTTTTTCGTTCTCGCTGCAGGCCTTCTTGACAGACCTCGTGCAGAAACCGAATGTGTGCTGCTTCTATTCGAACCAAGTGGAGATGGTCGCGCGTACAGACTAAATAATGTCCTAAAATGGTTTAGAACATTCTGCCCGCTTCTTATAGGAGTTGAAGTAGTAGCGCTTGTAGATTGGAAAGACGAGGCGCCAGCAGTATTGATAGATTCAGTGGAATAAGTAGATTGTGTTCTGGAAGCAGTAGAACAGGACACGGTCGCTGATTCATTTGGTTGATTGGAGACATTGTTTGATGTTTCCGTGGTTCTTCTTTGCTGTTGGTCATTTTCAGTGTTTGCTGCATCCTCTGATCTTTCGGACAAAAGAATAGTTGCTTCTCTTAATAAATTAAATGCTCTATTGACGTTCGCCATGCTTTCGAAACAATTTCAAAAAATATGATTTGCACACAGTGCTTCCATTTTCAAAAAACATAATTTCCTTCCAACTGTTCAAAATTTCCTTATTTAATTTTTGAAAAAATTTCCTTGCAATAAAAACTATTGAATTTTACCCTAATTTAAAACTGATTTTATAGTAATTTATCTCGAATAATGGGTATTTCTTGTTCTAGAAGGAACATGGACGTTGCAGGAGCTGAATTATCAAAGGGAGAGAAAAAGAATTTACCTAGATTAAAAAGAAGGATAAGCAGGGGTCTGATTTTCAGCAAATTCTGAAGCGCATCTCCTTGGAAATTGCCGTACTCTTAGAATTTTTTAGGAATAAGGCAATTTCCTTCACATTTCCTTCAATCTTCCGAAATTTCCTTCAGATTCGAATTTCCTTATAATTTCCTTCAACTATTTTCAACTAGTTAAAATTTCCTTCAAAAAGGAAATTTCCTTCAAAATGGAAGCATTATTTGCACATTGACTATATCAGCGACTACATGAAGTGTATCATCCAAATGGCAGATGTTCACCACTGTATCATAATGCAGGCTCGTACAGCCGAATACGAAACAGCCGAATACGAAACAGCCGAATACGAAACAGCCGAATACGAAACAGCCGAATACGAAACAGCCGAATACAAAACAGCCGAATACGAAACAGCCGAATACGAAACAGCCGAATACGAAACAGCCGAATACGAAACAGCCGAATACGAAACAGCCGAATACGAAACAGCCGAATACGAAACAGCCGAATACGAAACAGCCGAATACGAAACAGCCGAATACGAAACAGCCGAATACGAAACA